TAATAATAATAATAATAATAATAATAATAATAATGGCACCAGTATCACAAGATTCCAGTCCTACCATAGCACATGCGGTCAACTGTTGTGCGGTGAAACGAATGGAATACTGGCGAACGCGGCCAGTAGAATGAACGACAGCTGGGTCCTCGTTTTCGAAAAAGTTTGGTGACACTCAGTAGATTTATTGCTGGGCAACGTTTCGCTTTTGACACAAAAGCGAAACGTTGCCCAGCAATAAATCTACTGAGTGTCACCAAACTTTTTCGAAAACGAGGACCCAGCTGTCGTTCATTCTACTGGCCGCGTTCGCCAGTATTCCATTCGTTTCACCGCACAACAGTTGACCGCATGTGCTATGGTAGGACTGGAATCTTGTGATACTGGTGCCATTATTATTATTATTATTATTATTATTATTATTATTAGCAGTAACAACAATGAAATGCCTACACCTCCTAGAGCTTAGTCGGACAGTATGGGAAGGAGCTAAAAGAACAAACGTCACTGACATTAATTGACCGCCATTTCTTGCAGTGTCTCCCACCAAGCAAGCGGGTAGGGGGTCAAGGTGGATCGCATCAACAACATCTAGACTCCGCATCATCTCTTCCACACCGCTCTGCCAAGTCATACATTGTCCACCACGTAGTTTCCTCCATTCTGAAGGAGGCCTGGGAGAACAACAATTTTCTCAGTAGACGATGTTTCGGCAGCTACACGGCGATTTCCTCTATTGAAGAAGCACTCGCCATGTAAGAAGAGGACAGACCTCTTTCCGGGTTTCATGTATCTGTAGTCTCTTGTGTGTGTGGAGGGAGGGGTCAGCTGGCTTCATAAAGACCATGATCGGTGTCCCTTCCGACGATTGCTTTCCCAGCATCTTGCTTGGCCTTGTTGCAGAAACCCAAACCCAAAGGCGTCTAAAGCTCAGAAGGACAGTGAGTAGCTTAGATTCCAGGTAGCCACTTCGAGAAAAACCTGAGACGAAACTCGGCAACTGAGTTCCTACCTACACCCGCAAACACGGATATGAGAGTTCTGTTCAGCTGTAGCAACAAGCCCTGATGCAGCATTCCGAACATACTGTTTTGATCGGTATCGGTATCCGTGTCTCTGTTGAAGGAGTCCAGAGTCTCAGAATAAAGCTGCAACATGCTTTTGAAGTTTATGTCGACCTTTCTGGACTCTACACCAGGTGAGTAGTTGGCCGAGATGTCATTCATCACCGCGGAAATCTCGTCATATTGGAAGCCCTCATGGGTCTATGAAAGTTGAAAAGTGGTTGAGAAAGTGAACAACCCGGGAGCCATATAAATCCTATAGACGACGTTATAAGTTCGCATGATATCTTCCTGAAAAGTGGTTTTGTAGTTGGCCGACAGACTTTTCTCCCTACAGTAAGGAATAAAGCATAAATGATCAGAGTAAATTGAAAAGGCACACCATGAACACTTTTATGGGAGATACAATTCTTCCAGAGGATGCCGCTCCTCCGTTTCCTGTTGGTTTGAGTTCTTCCATCTTGTGTAGACCACAGGAGGTTTCTCAGGAAGCACCGCTGTCTTTGTTGATTCGTTCACCTGCGATTCATTCGAGCTTATTGAATAGCAATCTGAAATGAAGTTCTGTTCAAGTATTAGTTGTGCGTTGAAAACTTGTAAGAGACGCGCTGGTGGTTGGCGCTTGTTAGGGGGGCGGAACATCTTCAGAAATCGTCGTGATTATCACAGTAATCAAATATCTTCATTCATTAGGTCTTCCAGTACCGATTGCGATCCTTTCCAGCCACTTGATCAAGGAAGTCAGCAGTTCTCTTGCCTATGACTTCCTAACTTCCTTCCGGATCATAGTAACCGTTTCTTTAGGTGGAGATCGCCGCACTGACATTTCTAGGTGCACGAATTCTAGTTCCACGCGCCTTGAGTTCGGGTCGGCTACATTCAAGGCAGTGGATTCTGTGAGCAATTGACATTGTTGTGGAAGCGTGAGTGAAACGAGGCTCATTTTCAACCCAGTTTTTACAAAAGTGTGATCAGCGCAACAGATGTTTCCAGAACGAAGGTTCCAATGAAACCGACCAATGTGACCCGGAAAGCGGTGGCCTAGAGACCAATAGCCCAAGTTACCAAATGCTTCCGCAAGCCTTTGTGAGCGTTCTATTTGCTTGCAACGATCAGAAGGTCGTATCTGGGTAGTTCCTCAACTGGACGCTGTGCTAGGTGTTAAGTTGTGCTAGGTTTTCATTAGTCGTAGGTGGGTGCGGGATTTGTAAAATTCTCATCCACTTCATTTCCCTCCTGCCGTGGATCAATCATTCTGGTGAGTTCATACCAAGAGGGAGGAAGCACTGGACTCGAGTTTCGCACTAATTAGAGCTCATAGGCAGCACATATCCTTGGTCGTACTGGAGCTCGAACTCTAGAGGAGCAAGTGTTTTCATCATCATCATCATCATCATCATCATCATCATCATCATCATCATCATCATCATCATCATCATCATCATCATCATCATC